ACGAATTATATATCAACAATGTAAAAATATTCACACTACGAATATAAATATAATTTTATTTAATGATTTAAAGATTGATAATTAATGATTTAACAAAAATACACACACAATATCAATGAGCGGAAGACATCAGAAATTAGTATTGCAAATGTATTGGCAATGGTACAGAAACTTGGACACGCGCCTTCAGTGCAAGTCGGAAATCTTACCATACAACTACCAACTATACGCACTACTACTACTTTCCCGCTTCAAAACTCAAAACAAAAAACTAATTGTACTACATACACATCATATTTAGAGATAAATATATATTTTTTTTAGATTTTCACTTATGATTAAATTTAATTGAAATTAAAATTTTAATTTATTAATAAGATTTAGTTGGTTATGTATGTGTATATATATTTTCACATAAGTTTTTGTCCAAAAACCAAAACCTACGGTTTCGTTCTTCGCTTTTTCTCTGCTTCTGATTTCAGAGCCTTACGTCATGACTTCCCTTAACCTTTTTCCCAGATTCTTTCGTCGTTTTCTTCCACAAATTGTACTGTCCACTTTTGCGAAATTCGGAGCACTTTGGCCCCACAAAAACTGACACCATGATGATGATGGCGTGACTTTCTTTTCTATAATCGCTGTATGGGCCTTTCTGAATTATTATTACACTATAATATGCCTAATTAAGTGATGAACCGAACATAACAACAATTCCCAACACTTGTGTGATTATTTATTCTTTCTTTCTTATACTTCAACGGAATATTGATGTGTTTTATGGTATTACATGGATACATGGATTAAGAAATTTTTATTGCAATAAACATTGTTTATGTATTATTGGTGCATAAATTAAAAATGAATATGAATTACTATTTTTTCGGATTATTTTTTTTGAAGAATTAATGATAATTAAATATAAATATGAATTATACAATGATAATCTATAAAATTTATAAAATATTAGTATATGTTTCTTGAAGAATAATAATTATCAAATATAATTAATAGTTAATATATTGGAAATATAAAAAGTAGTAGAAGGTTATATTTTGAATAGAGATAATCTATGTTGGATTCTTTAATGAGACATGACCCTTTTCTTTTATTAGGCAGAATTGTAGAGGACACAAGTGTGGATGTTTAGTCACTTTTTGCTTTCAGTCTAGCGGAGCCACCAACTGCCAGCGTTAAAACACGTGTAATAGTACGTGGCTTCACCTTACACATTTAACTATTTACGTCCTGCCACGTGGTTTTAACAGACACTCGCAATTTTCCATTTCTTTGAAATTCAAAAACTGAATAACGTTGACGATGATCCTCTAGGGACAACAATTGAAGAGTGAACTCTGATATCACCACTGTCTCATTCTTCTCTCTTCTCTTGCAAATTTAATATAATACTCAAAGGTAATCTTATTTTAAAAATCGAGTAGTTTTAAGGGAGGTGTTAAACTTGAGACATTCAAATTCAAGAATCTAGTAACTTTACTTTGTGACATTACATAATTGTATTTCAAATATTTTATTATAAACTTTTATATGATATAATATTTTATGTTGATATTACAAAATTTTAAGAGTGTCAAAAATGTTAGGTAGAAGAATACACATTATGTTGTTAATATGGAAAAGTTTATTGTGCATCATCCTCTTCTAGTATTTCCTGGTTCAAACATTGGTATTTAATTTCTGAGAGTTTAACCTCTTTATTTAATGTTGTTAATATTGCTTAAAAAGAAAAGCATAAAGCTACTTTATAAATATGCTGTATTTAGTCCGTCCACCCGCTGCGCTAGCGAATATACAAGGAGAGCATATTGCTTATAATTTGTTCTCAGTCTTCAATTATTGTCTCAACTATGCTAGTTATTTGGTACGTATACTATAGTCATATAGTATATTTAATAATATAAAGTTGAGGTGTTCACATCAGGAATCTAGACGAAACAAAGAAAGGGATATAAATATAAGCTTTAACCGGAGGGCTAGGAATTCTCCTAACATAGTGAACATTTTAAACACTAGGATGATTATCATGAGATTTATTAGAATAGGAATATGATTGAATATCATAGTTAATCATTTAGATTTAATTAAATAATTAATATTTCTAAAATGTTCTTAGAGTATAAGATGTTGACACTTGTATGGTCATCATCATCTTAGTATTTCTTTATTCTCTATAAATAATGTCTTTGTTCATCCATAAAGAAAATCAATGAAAAATGAAGAATTTTTAGTTTACCATCTTCTTAGTTTATATATCTTCTTAGGAGTAGGATAATTTCATAGTGTTGTTGGTAGATTGCTATTTGCACTCTATCACAAATCTTTCATTTCTGATCTTAAGAGAATAAATTATTTTTTCTTAATATGAGATAACCTATTTACTTAAATTCACTTGTTTAACATGTGTCTTATTTTTTCTAATTTTATAATATATTTTAAAATTGAAACTTCTAGAAAAGTAAAATAATACACATGTCAAATAATAAGTGCATTTAAAAATATAAGTTATCTCATGAAAATATATTTTATTTTCTTATAATAATTGTCATTTTTTTCATAAACAAATTATAAAAAGACAAAAGGATTCATACAATGAGAGTGTAAGAGATTTTTATATTATCACTTTTCATTTTCAATAATCATTTACTATTAAATAAAAGTAATGCAAATGACTAATAGATAATAGTATATAAATATTGCACTCTTATAAAAAGATTGAGTATTTTGTTTGGATGAATAAACTAGCTAAGTGAGTATATTAGAGTAATATTATATTTTCCTAGTTTTCTTACTAATATTTATACCGATAAAAAAGTAACATGTCACTAAACCAATTATGAATAAATAAATGTCATTTTCTTACTAAGAGAATTAATTATCAGAATATATGATTTTTTGAGTATATTATAAGAAGACACATTTGAGCCAATGCCGGATCAATTGTGCAAGTTTACTCACAGGTAAAGGCAAAGCAATTAAAGGTTAATGAATTAATGTATGAGTCTTTCCGTCCCTTTGTCTCTTATTTACTAATCTTGTACATTTTGTGTTTGTAACCTTCACTATTACTTTATTCAGGAACCATCGCATATGGCTGACAACCAGACAAGGTATGAATAAACAAAACACTATTTGAGTTTCTTATTATTTACATTCTATGTACTTAGCCCATAACTTTCCCCAACCATTCATTCTAATCTTCTGCTCCCAGTTTCATATGTGTCGCTACAAGGAAACGATATATAATATCATTTGTTACTCAACGATATAGTTTACAGCACAATGAAGAATCTAACAACTGAGTACAACTTATGCTAAAATGTCATTTGTTTAAAGTTTTAGTTAAAATATTTCAAAATACTGTCTTAGAAAGAAACATGATGGGTGGGTAGATATTTTGAAGATTGAAATTTTTCTTCCTATCTTTATTTAAAATGTAAGGTTAATAAATAAGTTGTTACTCGGTAAAATAAAAATATATCATTATAGGTTAAATATTGAAAAAATATATACATATTTACTTTAAAAAAAATCAAATGAAATGTGAATAATGTACTGTATATAAATATTTACGGTCACAATGTGAGATGTGACATGTCATTATTGTAATATATTGTATAGCAGAGATGTTGGGTTACACGAAGATGAGTCTTTTACCAATGTATTTAGTCTTCACAGTCCATAGGTGTATGTCATATTAAACAAGGCCAATCCACTTTGATTTGGGGTGAAGTACACTAACTAGTCCAAGATGTTGTAAACACATTCCGGATATATTATAGAGTGAAATATCAAACATGTAACATTGAAATAACCAACGTTAAGTAACATTTTAATGATTGTGAAACAACCAAAAGAGCCCTAAAAATAAGGGTTGCAAATTAAAAGATTTATAGAACATTTCAAAATTACTTCTCAGCTAATTGGTTGGCAAATGCTCATTAAAGGAAGATAGCAGAGTGTACACCAAATTAATAAGTACAAGAGACAACCCACCACCTAACATGAAAGAAAGTAAATGTGTAAACACTACTTTCTAACTTTCAGCTTCTGGAGTGGTAGCTGCTATGTGAGTACCATAATAATCAAGCTCATGATTATCATTGTGATTTTAGTATTTCACACATCTTCTTTTCCAATATTAACTTATATTTTGTAGAATTAACTTCATTTTTATGTAAAAAAATTAATTTTGCCAAATTGTAGTTGAAATATGATATTACAACTAAAAGTCATGTTCAATTGATTGATTTGAGATCACTTTAAATTTATGAGAGTGAACATCCACGGCAAAATCTCAGCAAAAAAACTCTACGGAGTAGAAATGAAAATGAAGTTGGATGAATTGATACACTATTGATGATTTGATTAGAAATGAATACATTAAAATAACTCATATTATAGAAAAGGTGGTAAAATTGTGTTTTATGTGGTTTTAATATTTGCAAGGGAGACTACTATAATCATTAATAAGGAGAGTATATCAAAATTAGTTATTAAGTGTTTGACACATTTTGTATCATTACATGTTTTTTCCATTTAGATTCTCAACCATAGTTTTAAAAACCGTGCCGTACCGGCCAGTTCAACCGGAAAACCGGTGAACCGGACCCCTAACCGGTATGGTACGTATGTTATACCGCATATGCAATAGAACCGGTCAAAACCGGTTGAAAACCGGTTGGTTTGTACATTAATTTTTTTTTAAAATTTCAAATTTTCAATTCTTCACCAATTCTTCAATTTCAATGATTGATATTTGATTCATTTATTTGTATTTTGCGTTTGTTAAGTGATAATTTTGGATAAATATATGTTTTGTACTTTAGACTTTGATTTTATTAAAGACTTAATGTTGTTTGTTTGTGTGAATTTGAAGTAAATTATGAATATGGATTATAAATATGAATATCTACTTATTTGAAATTTTTTGTTACAGGTTTACATATATATATAAGCAAGTATGTCCGGTTTAACCGGCATGCGGTTTAATTACTGAACCACTATACCAGTACCCTAACCGGATTGATAACCAGTACGATTTTAATAACATTGTTCTCAACTACATATTTCAACCTTTCCAATTAATTTAACGATTTTGTTATTGAATTTAGGTATGTAACCCTCAAGGATTGTCTTCATTTAGTGCCAAGCTATGTTGTTAAACACTTAAACCTCCGACATGGTTGGTCCATTACCATTACGCTGTCACTTTTCAATATTGCAGTATCCGATACGGAATAAATTGACCGCAAGACCGTTGGACCTAAAAATGCCATAAATGTGAATTAGTACTATACATGACTCAGTTTTTTCTTACATTTATGACCTATCTTTCCTTCGTTGAAAAATGAGGGCGCACCCACATCTATGACCCTGATATTTGACTTGCTTAATTAGTTCATTTTCCATTTTCATCATAAATGCTTAATGCAAGAGATTTTTTTTTAAGGAAACAAGGCAAAGAAAATCATATTTGTTAAGATTAGCTAGCAAATTACTACTATGATGAATCTTTTGGTGGCAACATTAACTGTTACACATAACGAGATGGTGACCTTTTCTTTGGTCTAATCTCAATTTATTAGCAGAATAAGAAACTACCCCATCTCAATTTATTAGCAGAATAAAATAGTTTTATAAAAATAGGAGAGGCTGAAAAGCTGAAAAGCTGAAAAGCTGAAAAGTATGGGCAACCCAACCATAATGACATTCAGGTAGTGGCTTTAGGTCCCAAAATATGGTAGGCTTCCAATTTGTGTAAGTATTACTGATTTAAAAAATAATTATCGACTTATCAAGACTATTTATTATAATTCCACGAGTTTCAATTACTAATTTACTATTTACTTTGATATTATGATATTTTTGAAGACTATTTACTTAGGTTTAACAATAATTAATTTTGTAATTAACGTCTTCATTTTGGATTATTTTATTTATTTATTTTAGTTAACATTGTTGATAAAATAAGCTTGTTTTACCTTAGCTGCATTCTTTATTTTAGTTTACATTCTTCATAAAATTTATACAAGTTAGTATATTATCCATCATTTATTATTATTTTTAAAACTAATTGTGAATGTTAGACTGCAATAACTATTATTGATTTAGAATTTGGTCCACCTCAAGCTATTTTTATTTGGTGTGAGGTTTCTGTCAATTTAGATTTTGCAGTTGTCTGCAATTGAAATTTATTTAGCTTCTTTCCCTGCACTCTTTTCTGACCTGTGACTATTGCTTGCATATTGGGGACCATTGCTAATTATCACACGAAATAAGCGATCTGGGGTTAAAATTTGCAGTGGCCCGTAACCCAAGTGCAAATTGAACGAGCCCGTTTAGATGGCAGAATACGGCATATTTTTGTAGAACCAGTAATTAAGTGCTTATTTAACAAGGAGTTAAAACAGCTTATAAAATGATTATAAGATATTTTTATAATATTTCCGTAAGCTATTGCAATAAATCTAAATAAGTTCTCTATCAGATTGACTATAATATTACACGAATCAATAATTTTAGAATTCAATGCACTTAATCTTGGTAGATAAACTAACTAAATTTACGTATTTGACCCAGATTTAAATGCACGTCAAGGGCTTACCCCAAAATTAAAAAATGGTGGAAAAATCACATCAGTTCTGTCTGTGTTCACTCAAATTAGTGAATACACAACCAATTCGTAGAACATATGAAGGGCCCTTCTTCAATGCTACGACTTATTTTTGTCAAAAGTATTAGTCTAACAAAAAAATTGTGAAGAAAAATTTATAGTTATAGTTAAGATTTAAGAGCAAGCCATCATGGAATTAATAGTCAAGATTTAGGACTTGCTAGATTTGTAAGACACTAACACACCACTATTACATTATATTGTTTAAATTTTAGTTCTTCAGATTTTTCATATATTTTACTACAGTAATAAAGATTCGCTAGACCCATAACATTCTGAGTGTTATATCATTATTCTCTTTTCAAAACCCAATTTGATTTCAATAATATTTCCATTTTTATTAGATTAATATTTATAAATTAAAATAATAAAATCATAGTTAATAGTTAAAAGAGATAGAAAACATATTATATATAAGATGCATATTTATTTCAAATACAAGTATTTCAATTTGTTACAAAGAAACAAAGCTACTATAAGGACCAGATTTTATTTATTCCCCCATATTTTTAGTTATTTTAAAAAGAAAAAACTATTGATGTAATTGTTTAATTACTTAGGAGATATAAACGAGTGATATGGCATAAATAAAGTGGTTAAGTAAAAGAAAATGAGATATTCAAAGTCTTAATTAGACCTTCAAATTAAGGCATCAAAGTTTGAATGACAACAGAGTCTTATAAAAATTCAACTTAATGCTCTTATAGATGTCTTAAGGTTAGCTAATTACAGAATAAAATATATTTTAATAAAAAAATATTGAATATATTAATTAATTACCACTAGAGGTGTGTTTGTTGCTAAGTTTTGAGACAATAAGTTTTTTATTCCATCTTGAATTCTTTTGAAAACTATAAAATACACTAGACTCAAAAATCATTTATTTTATTTCATTCCTTTCCAAAACTAAACTTATAAACATAATCAAAGGAAACTGATAAAAGGGAGTAAAATAATGATTAAGATGATTTATGCAACAAGAATGCTAGAGGGAGGAAAAATAATGAATCAGATGATTTAGTTACATCTAATAGATATTTTTTAAAAACCTAGCTTGTTCAGATTTGCAAGCAATCATGAATGTTGATAAAGAATAGGTGCAACAACAGAAGTGAATCATGATGGTCTTAAAATGAAATGATACCTTTCACCCACATACAACAACAACAACATACATGTTACTCTCACCCAAATAAACAATCTACATGTACTTTTCCCGCTCTTAATAACTGAGCTACTATAATACAACGGGACAATTGTTTTTGTTGGCATTTAATGACCACATCAAATATTCATAAATAAACAAATTCCCAGGGAACAAACAGCGTAGACAAAGTAGACCATAGTCACATGTGGTTATAATCTAATTAGTGTGTTTTCGTATATGCAAAGTCAGTGAGACAGTGCCATAACCACGTTTTTGTTCATATGTTCCATTCCACCTAGTTATATAAAAAAATAATTTTATTTTTATAATTTTCCTTTTTAATTAGGTAACACTATTTAATTGGATAAAACACCATTAGAATAATACTAAACATATGATCTTCATTCTGATATTATTATTCCGTAAGAATCATACATTATAACAAATTAGATACGCTTAAGATCCAATCTGTTATATTTTGACCACTGAATTCAAAGACCTTATACATTACTTATAATGATATGAGTAACTGTTTTTTTAGGTGAAATTAAAACCCAATTTTAACCTAATAGGTCGAATAAAATATTAGAAGTTCTTCTAATCTAGATATTCATACCAAGAAGCGTAATGTAAATATTTTGATATTTTGATTATGGAAAGTGATAGGGATAACAACACACCTTGGAGAGATAACTTAATAGTATAAAAATTTGAATAAATTGTCTTCCCTAAATTAATAGTATATATTGCTGTAGTTGTAGAAGAAAGAAACTATCCTCGTGTTAAGTCAGTAGCAAATGTCTAATATTAGACCTGAAATTGGGTAAAAGAGTTGTGATTCAAATTGAGTTCCATCTCTTTGGTAATGGAGAAAACTTCACATCAGATGATGACACCGAGGCCAGTCCAATTCTAGTTTATATTATGATTACTATTTTCATATTTAATTAGATCTTCCATTTAAATGGTATTTGAAAAGAGTGGTGGGACAAATTTCTTGGGAATGACTTGAACTGCCTTTGTTAGCAGTGTCCTACCAGTGTTGGTGAAATTAAAGATTATTGAGCTGCTTCATTTCAAAGGGTCAATTACTAGAATTTGCTTTAATTGAAAGGTTTGGTTTGGTTTGGTTTCGGTAGAAGCAAGAAAAGGGGAAGGGAGGAAGGTACTTACTCATTACTATACTATATTGCAAAGAATAATTAACCCATATTTTATATGTACTTTTCTTATTAAATCATCTATCACCGAATTCACCATGTATACACTTCCATAAAAATATCATTTAATACGATAATGAAGAAAAACAGTATAAACAATATTTTGATTATTTTCTCTTATTTTAATTGTTTTGTTCGATATAATCTCACAGTTTCGTATTAAGCCACAACTTTTTAGTTACTTAATCATTTTGTTTTTAAAAATAGCAATTTGATTGACGATATGTTGGAATAATATATTGAAACAATTTTCAAAATAATATTTAACTCTATCAAGAAAAAGTTTTATTGATTTGAGTTTGAAGATGGCTTTATCAATATTATAAGCTAAACACAAATTGAAAAACTATACCAACAAGTGTGTAGAATTTTATATCCAATTCATGTGCATGAGAAAGATGAAACTTTCTTTGGGAGTTGCATATCATTTTCAAATCCGCATGGGATCCTTGTTTGAAAAGAAAAATCCGAAAGCCTTGCAAGCTTAGTTGAAATTAGGTGAAATGCACTAATCCCACTCGACAGTGGAGTCCTTGAACTCATCAACACCACATATAATATGCTGCTTGGTGCCCAAAAGTGACCCAATAACAAAAAATCACGTCTGAAAAACAGCACTACCATTAACAATTGCAAGTTGTTAATTCATATCATCAATCTAGTTTCCATTTAAAAACACTCACCCAAACAATGGTTTTCCTGTAGCCAACGAAATCAACATCAATTTTCAATTTACCACAACTTAAATGATTCTCCCATACACATATATTCTACTGCAAATATCAATTAACCATCCTTCTCATATTGAAAGTGAAGTTACCCAAGCTAATCGTCACGCATCTATCTAATGAAAGAATGTAAATTAAATTTGAACTCCATGCAATTAACCAAAAAGGTGGGAAGGCACCAAAAAAATAAAATAAAAAAACGCAATCATGCATGTGACAATTACATTTCCCACAACCATGTACAACCAAAACATAAAACGGGGCACGCCCATTTTCTATGTGAGAAAAAGGGGAAAAAATGTAACATTAATAAACCTCTTCATTGTTTGTCGTTTCCCCCCTATGAATTACTATGAACATGCATGTGACAATTGACATTAAGATAGACAAACTTGAATGGATGAATTTTTAACGGTGAGGCAAACGGGGCACGCCCGAAAATGCATGTCGCATTCGGTACACACACAAAGATGCCGACACGGTAAAACCACCACCGACGCGACCCGTGTATCGCAACCTCTACAATTGGGACCCGACACCGTGACCCGATCCGGGTCAACATAAGCTGACTCAGCATCCTCAGCATGGCCCACGGCGCAGGATAGCACTCCACCATCTTCAACCACTCTGTTTTCGTGACTCATCATAATAGCGTGGTGCAGTTGGGCCTGTAACGAAGCAGCGGTTGATTCCTGGGCCTTCACCTTGGCCTGCCAAACCTGCGCTTCTACGCTAAGCTGCGCCACGTGTGCTTCTAACTCAGCGTTTCTGCGCGTGGCTTTCTCCATGTCAGTTTGTTTTTCTCTTAACCGTCGTGCAACTGATTCATCCAATGTGTTCAATAGAGACCAATTATGTCTCTCCCTCATCTCCGCTAATGTTTGCCTCAATTGTTCTCCCTGATAAACAACACAACATTCATCATTTTATTTTTATTAAATAATAATTCCCACGTCTAAGAAATAAAAATTAGATTTTTAATGTTGTTATAAAAAAAGATGTACCTGGGCTTGAAGGAATTGTTCAATCTCATCTCTCTGCTGCTTGATATGAGAATTCAAGCCTTCGGAGAATAGAGATAATTGGTGTTGGTTGTGCAATTGCTTTTGATGATCACCGAAGGATAAGCCTAAGCCGGTAGAGACTGCATTTTGTTGGTGATTATGGTTATAATTATGATTATGATTATGGAGTTGGGTGAGGTTAATAAGCTGAGGAGGCTGAGATTGAGTTTGTAGAGAGAATGATGGATTAGGTGCTGTTTGGCTAACTCCGCCTTCTCTTCCTCTCTTCCTAGAACTACTCGCTGTTTTAATCAAAATTGGTCAAAGAAAGGAGACATTTTTGTAAGTTTGAATTGGGCAATAAAATGAAAATAAA